CCCCTTTGACTTTGGGGCCTTTCAAGTGTAAGTCTACATCAGGCATGGAGATCTTGGGGGCCTTGAAGTTCATCTCAGGCATCTTAAACTTGGGACCCTTCAGCTTCCCTTCTGGTCCCTCAAGGCTCACATCTGGGGCTTCAATGTCAACCTTGGGTCCAGTGATGTCAATGTCAGCTTTGGGCAGGTTCACATCCACATCTGGGCCCTGACCTTTGAAGCTGGGCATGCTGAATTTAGGCATTTTCATCTTGGGCATTTTTAGGCTCCAGTCTGTACCTTGAACTTCCACATCTGGTACCTTAATATCTACCTTAGGGCCTTTCATGTCCACATCTGGAACTTTCATCTCACCTTCTATCTTTGGTGCAGACACATCCAGATTTCCTTTCATTTTGGGTCCTTTAAGATCCAGGTCAACATCTGGCAGACTCATCTTAGGAGCTTTGAAGTGCATCTCAGGCATCTTAAACTTGGGACCCTTCAACTTCCCTTCTGGTCCTTCAAGACTCAGATCTGGGGCACTAATATCTACCTTGGGTGCAGAAATGTCCACATCGGCCTTGGGCAAGTTCACATCTAATTCTGGGCCCTCTCCTTTGAGGCTGGGCATGGTAAATTTGGGCATTTTCATCTTGGGCATCTTTAGGTTCCAATCAGGACCATGAACTTCAACATCTGGGGCACTGACGTCTACTTGCGGCCCTTTCAGATCCCCTTCCAGCTTTGGCACTGTAACATCATATTCTCCCTTTACCTTGGGACCTTTCATATGCAAATCCATATCAGGCATGGAGATCTTCGGGGCCTTGATATTCATCTCAGGCATCTTCAACTTGGGACCCTTCAGTTTTCCTTCAAGTCCTTCAATATTTACATCTGGAACTTCAACGTCCACCTGGGGTCCTGAGACGTCAATGTCAGCTTTCGGCAGGTTCACATCCACTCCTGGGCCCTCTCCTTTGAAGCCAGGCATGCTGAACTTGGGCATTTTCACTTTGGGCATCTTCAGGTGCCAGTCTGGGCCATGAACATCCACATCTGGAGCATCAATGTCCATTTTGGCACTTTTAAGTTCAACATCAGAAACTTTAATCTCACCTTCAACCTTTGGCACTGTGATGTCATATTCTCCTCTTGCTCCAGGGCCTTTCAAATGTAAGTCCACATCTGGCATGGAGATCTTGGGGGTTTTGATATTCATCTCAGGCATCTTAAACTTGGGTCCTTTCAATTTCCCTTCTGGTCCCTCAATGCTCACATCCGGAGCACTAACATCTACCCTGGGCCCAGAAATGTCCACATCAGGCTTGGGCAGGTTCACGTCCACTTCTGGGCCTTCTGCTTTGAACCCCGGAACACTGAATTTGGGCATTTTCATTTTGGGCATTTTCAGATGCCAGTCTGGACCGTGAACATCCACATCTGGTGCATCAATGTCCAGCTGGGGGCCTTTCAGTTCTCCTTCAAGTTTTGGTACTGTTACATCACACTCTCCTTTTACTTTTGTGCCTTTAACATGCAAATCTACATCAGGCATGGAGATCTTTGGTGTCTTCACACTCACTTCAGGCAGCTTAATGTCAGGGCCTTTAAGTTTGCCCCCCAGGTCCCCTATGTTGACATTTGGGGCTTCCACATTGACCTTGGGCCCTGAAATACTGATATCTCCTTTGGGTAGATTCACGTCTACATCTGGGCCTTCTCCTTTGATTCCTGGAGTGCTGAACTTGGGCATTTTCATCTTGGGCATTTTCAGGTTCCATTCTGGGCCATGAACATCCACATCTGGGGCACTGACATCCACTTTGGGGCCTCTGACATCAACTTCAGGGACTCTGACTTTCCCTTCTACTTTTGGGACTGCGACATCTACACCCCCTTTCACTTTAGGTGCAGCCACATTTAAGTCTACTTCTGCCATAGAAATCCTGCAGGTTCCTGTTTGCCCAGAAGGACCACTAAGCTTGGGTCCTGTCAGGGTCCCCTCTAGGCTGGGTGTCTTGATGTCTACTTTGGAGCCTTTAACTGCCACTTGAGGGCCTTTAACATCACCTTGCACCCCAGGAGCAGAAATGTGAATATCTCCTTTCAGTTTAGGGGACCCAAGGCTCAGATCCACATCCTGCATGGAGATTTTAGGTTTCTGAACAATCATTTCAGGACTCTTGACTTTAGGACCCTTTATCTTCCCTTCCAGCCCCCCAGGAACAACCTCAGGCAGGCTGATGTCCCCAGAGACCCCCGGAAGAGTCACTTCACCTGTGGGCAGTGTCACATCAATGCCAGCTCCCTCTCCCTCAGAACCTGATGCAGAGAATTTGGGGACTTTTATCTTGGGCATATTCAGTTTGCCTCCAGGCCCATGAATATCAACGTCGGGGGCTCGAACTTCCACACTGGGGCAAGGGATGCCGCCCTCGATTTTGGGAGCAGAGATGTCCACCCCTATGCTCCCCTGTGGCTTGGCACCTTTCAGGCCCAGGTTACCCTCAAGTGATGGCCCAGTGATTTGGGGGCCCTTCAGCTTCCCCTCAAGCCCCTCAACATTGAGAGAGGGAGCACTGACTTCTAGCTGAGGAGCCTGGATGTTCCCGTCGATGGTCAAGCCTGGCTTGCTGCCCTTGTGCCCCACAGAGAATTCAGGTGCAGAAACACTCAACCCTGCCTCTGGTGCCTGGCCCTCAACAGGTCCTGCTGAGACACCAAATTTTGGCATCTTCATGGTGGGAATTTTAATTTTCCCATTACTACCACTCTCAAGGGATAAGCCCTGCACCTCTACTGCCCCACCCCCAAGAGAAGATGAAATGTCCACTCCTGGAACTTGGACCCCTCCTTTGCCACCCAAATCAAAGCCCTTTGCACTGACACTGACACCTGGGCTTCCCACCTTTATCCCAGGCACGGTGACCTGGAGCTTCGAGTGGCCAGCACCTTGGAACTCTGGTCCCGAAGCAGAAATGGACCCTGCTCGGATGTCCACAGCAGAGCCTGCGGTTGGTGACACTGCCCCCGAGCCCGAGGGCAATCTGATCACTGTCTTCCCAGGCTGGGTCTCCACGCCCACGGTGGAGATTTCCGTCAGTTCATGCCGTGGAATCTTGATCTTGAACTCAGGGCTGCTGATGTCGATGTCCTTGGCTCCTTCCCGACCCGTCACATCCACAGTGTAGGCTGTGACCCTTCTAGTCACCGTGATGGTCCGGCTCTGGGTCTCCCCAGGATCCCCTTCCACTCCATCCTCCGACTTCAGCCGAGGCTTGATCTTCGTGGTGTAGATGCGCTGGTACTCCTCATCATCCCCGCTCTGCAGAAAGACACGCCCGGCAGAGGTTGCAGCAGAGTCTGCCCAGGTCACAGACGCCCGGCCACAGCCCAGCCAACAACATGGTTGCCTATTTCCCATGGAAGCCGGGACCATAACGGAGGTCCACAGAGCCTCCTGGGGCAGAGCACAGGGGCTGAAGAAAGGGACTGACAGCCACATCACAGGAGGAAAACAGAAATTATTGGGGAAAACTCCAAGAACAAAGCAAAGCCATGGGGAGAGGAAAGGTGTAGACTCCTGGACTATGTGGTCTGGGAGAAGGATTTACAATCAACCCTAGATTCAGACTAGCCTCTCCAGTCTCAGGGACACCTCCAGGTGACCAGCTCTGTGCTGACTTGACCCTTCGGCTCTCAACTCTCAACTCACTGGCTTGTTTGTCTAATCAGAGGGGGAATCCTCCCAGGGACCCTTCGGAAAGCATTGTTTAGTGTAAGCATTTGTCGAGACTGGTGGCGCTTGGATTAACACTTTCACTTGGACGACCCGATATTTGTGAAATACACAAGCCATCAGAAGGAGCAGAGAAACGTCTCTCAGGCAACTTTGCTGCCCAGTCTCTGACTCACAGATGAGTCCAGGCCTCTGGAAGTAGAAAAACGGTATCTGTGAGGCAGAGCTGGGCACCCGTGAAACCATTTCAAAGATTCTTACAAATCAGCCGACCTTCCTCCTGGCCTCTAGGACAAGACAGCATGAGTCGGTCCCCACGCTGGGCACTCTGAAGAGACTGAGGGGAGACTTTTAGGGGCGGTATCAGCCACATGCCACACGTGAATAGGAACAAACAGACTGGCTCCACAGAGGATGCAGAGGGGTGACAGTTGGAGAAGGAGTAACAACAGAGATCCAGCAGGCAGACAGAGGCTCAGGCAGCAGGGCCAGCAGGTCGGTGCGGCCAGGGGGAGCTCAGGGCACAGATGGGCCATGGGGCACTCACCAGAACCACTTCGGAGGTGCGGGAGGTGAAGACTTCATGGGTCCAGGTCTGGCCAGGCTCAGGGGAGCGGTCCCCCTTGCGGTGCAGCTTCAGGCCCACGGTGTGGTGCCCCATGGTGTTCAGCAGCTGGGTCACCTCGCCTGACTGCAGGTTGTCAAAGTAGATGGTGGCACCCACAATCTGGTCCCCTGAGCAGGGAGGATCAAGAAGCGGGTAAGACCCCCAGGGTCTCAGGAAAACAACACACAACTGCTTGGTGCTGACTTGTATCCAGTGCATGTCATGACCACCCTGCGAGGCAGGTGGGGTAATACCCATTGTATAGATGAGGAAACTGAGGCTGAGAGAGGCCAACTAATTTGCCCAAAGCAGCAGAGCTCGTGAGTGGTGGCGTCAGAACTGAGGACTATGTCTCCACCATCCCCCATGGCCATCTCTCCCAAGGACCCTGAGCGAGGGACACAGAGCAGGCAGGGGAGGGCAGGGTGTGTCCTGACCATCCTGACACTGCGGGACTGGGCCCTCCACAGCCACTTGCCCACTGCTGCCTGCCCCCTGCCCTTCCCTCCCGCCACCCGCACCCACCACAACTCAGCACCCAGCCCGCACCCTGAGTGACTCACCCTCCTTGACCACCCCAGTGCGGGCCGCAGGGGAGTTCTGCATCACCTCCTGCACAAAGACGCCGTCGTCCCTCTGGGCGATGGTCAGCCCGTGGGAGCCGCTGCCCTGCCAGTTGGGCAGCAGCAGCTCCCGGGTCGTCTCCTCCTCCTTTTCCATCTGGGATGAGGGAAGGAAATGGAGCTCAGGACCGTGGGGGCGCGAGGGCACAAGGGGATGAGAAAGCCAGGGATCTTTGGTGCCATGAACTCTCGGGGAGTGGAGCATTGTCTCTAAGCTGTCCACTTGCTCTCAAGGCACAGCGGAGAATATGGAAAGTGGACAGTGGATGCAACCAGCCTTGGAGGAAACCAGCCCTTCATCCCTTCCACCCAGGGCCCTGCCTCCTGATGCCACAGGGGGTCTCCACCGTCCCCATCCCATCACCTCCACCTCTCTCCTCCCCCACCCCACCCCCCGACTGACCTTCTGCAGGACTCAATTCAGGAGCCAATGCCTTGCCAGGAGCCCGCCCCTCCTTCCTCTCTTCTCCTCAGTCTTTCTCCTCGGGAATCTGTCACACAGCCTAGGGGAAAGTTCACAATGATGCTCGCTCTCAACAATCGGCTTGCTCAGAACCCCGACCGGCTGCCACACCAGGGATGGCTGGATGTCCTGTTCCCCAGGCCAGATCCAAACCTCGACCCCTACTACTGTTATCAATTCCATCCACACATGACTCTCCAGCATGGGGTGGCAGAAAGGGGGTTTAGAGGAGGCCAGACTCATACTCAAATCCTGGTTCCACATCCTCCCAGCTGGGTGACCCTGGCTAAGTCACTTAACGTCTCTGAACCTCCATTTCCTCATCGTGAAAATGGAGATGATAAAGGATTTCCGTGAGGACTGAAGAAGAGAGACAGAGCATGTGTGGAAAGCTCTGGCGCACAGGAGCCTCACAACACACACATTCTCATCAGGTTCTTTATAACAGCTTCAAGATGGAGAGGTTACTGTCCCCATTTTACAGATGGAGAGACTGAGATTCAGAGAAGCCAATTTGCCTGGGGTCCACAATAAGGGAGCAACTATGCTCGGGCTCTGAGCCTGTAACTCTTTCCCCTACACCGTATCAGAGGACGGACACTGCTCAGAGTGTCTCCCACACTGGGGGTAACTGGCAGGCCTGAGAGCAGGGATAGTGGTGCCCTCCCTTCCCCAGTGACAAGCAGTGACTCTGGGTCACCCTGTCTAACCCAGTCCTCAGGACCGGGGGACCCTCGCCAGCTAGGAGCTCCAGGAGCCCTGCCACAGGCAGCAGCTAAACAAAGGAGGCACAGCCCCTCCAGGCACCAGCCCAAGCCCGAGAGGCAGGAGTACAGCTGAGCTGCCTGAGGGACGTGATGAGTCAGGGCCCATCTGGCTGCCTACGCTGGGCCCTGAGCCAGGCCCCCATAGGTGCGGGCGCTTGGGAGCAAAGATGCCCTCCAGCCACAGGATGAGCTGTCAGCTGCAGAGGCGCCCCGGGAAGACATCAAGGCAGGACTCTGGACACAGCCACAGCCTACAGCCACCCACACAAAATGGCGGCAGCAGCGTCATCCAGGAGCACGTCTGTGAAACCGTGCGGGGGAGGCCATAAATCATGGAGAACTTCGCCCAAAGCCCCACCCTACAGCTGTTTACATCCACAAATAAGTCAACCAATCAATAAACACACGCATCCCGAGCACCTCCCGTACATCCAGCATTGTACTGGACCCTTCAGAGCAAACCAGCAAGGGACAGTCGCAGCTCAGCCCAGCCCTGAATTCTACGTTGCATTCAATTGTCACCTAACTGCTTCATGCACCCGCTAAACATTTATTGAATGCACTCTATGTGCCAGATGTGGAGATTTAAAGGACTTTGTTCCTGTCCCGGATATAAATTACGAGCAAGGTGCTCTGGGCGTGACCAATTTAGCCTCAGAATGTTCCAGAAGGCTAAATGGGGTCTTTTTTTTTTTTTTTTAAAGATTTTATTTATTCATTTTTTTCCCCCCAAAGCCCCAGTAGATAGTTGTATGTCATAGGTTCACATCCTTCTAGTTGCTGTACGTGGGACTCGGCCT